AGCGGAAGAGTGGATGACCAATCTATAGTACATAACATAATGGAATGCTATGCAGCCTGAAGAATAATGTAGAGTCTGCAAAACATCGCATAATATGGATGAATTGAACTTGGAGGACATTATGCTGAGTGACATAAGTAAATCACAGAAAGATAAATATAGTATTAGTTGTTGTGGAGGGTCAAGGAAAGGTTTACATACGGAGGGAAACTTTCTTTGTTGGTTGCTGGGGTGTGAGGGGAGGAGACGGAACGCTGCAAAAAAATAAAGCATTGACCCATGTCCCTTTAGTTTTATTGTGTATTTTACTATACATAAATTAAATTTCAATAAAATGCATTTAAAAAAAAGAATATTTCAAGGTGTATCCTGAAGTATTCTGTCAACCATATGTCCAAAAAGAAAACCAGTTACCAAGGCTATTATTGAAATTTATGCACCAACTAAGGTGAAAAATGAAGAAATTGAAGATTTGTATAAATTTCTGCAGTCCCAAAATGATCAAATATGCAATAAGATGTATTGATAATTATTGGTGATCAGAATGCAAAAGTTAGAAACAACGAAGGATCAGTAGTAGTTGGAGAATACAGTCTTGTTGATAGAAATGAAGCTGGAGATCACAGGACACAATTTTGCCAGACCAACAACTTATTCATTTGGAAATATCTCTTTTCAACAATATAAAAAGACAATGCATATGTGAAACACAGGAAGTAAATGGACTACATCTGTGGATGTAGAGATGATGGAGAAATGCAGCACTATCACTCAGAACAAGGGCAGGGACTGACTGCAAAAACAGCTCATCAGCTACTCTTATGCAAGTTCAAGCTGAAGCTGAAGAAAATTAAAACAAGTCCCTGGAAGCCAAAGTACGAACTTGAGTGTATTCCACTTGAATTTAGAGAACATCCAAGAATAAATTTGATGTACAGAACACTTGTTGTTGTTATGTGCCGTCAAGTCAGACCTGACTCATAGTGACCCCTCCTTGGGTTTCCGAGGCAGTATAACTACAGAAATAGATTGCCCCATCTTCCTTCTGTACAGAACACTAATGACCAAAAACCAGGCAAGTTGTGGGATGATATCAAGGTCATCATACATGAAGAAAGCTAAGAGGCATTAAAAAGATAGAAAAGAAATAAAGACAAAAATGGATGTCAGAAGAGACTATGAAACTTGCTCTTGAATGGAGAATAGCTAAAGCGAATGGAAGAAATTATGAAAATAAAAGAACTGAGCAGAAAATTGGAAAGGGTGGCTGAAGACAAAGAAAAGTATAATAATGAAATGTGTAAAAACCTGGAGTTAGAAAATGAAAAGAAAAAAGAATAGACTTGGCATTTCTCAAGCTGAAATGGAAGAAAAATTCAAACCTCACGTTGCAATATTCAAGGATTCTATGGGTAAAATATTGAATGATGCAGGACACATCAAAAGGAAATGAAAGGATATGCAGTCACGTACCAAAAAGAAGGAGCTTTGGTGGTATAGTGCCTAAGGCATTTGACTGCTAACCAGAAGGTTGGAGGTTCAAATCTACCAGCTGCTCCATGGGAGGAAGATAGAACAATGTACTTCTGTGAAGACTTACTCCCTCAGAAACCCAACGGGGTTGGCTATGAGTCGGAATCAACTTGGTGACAGTGAGTCTGGTCTTCTTTGGTTTTGAGTACCAAAAAGAATTGGTTGATGTTTAACCATTTCAGGAGGTAGCATATGATCAAGAACTGACGCTACTGAAGGAAGAAATCCAAGTTGCACTGAGGCACTGGTGAAGAACAAGGCTCCAACAATTAATGGAATATCTACCCATTGAGATGTTGAACAAATGGATGCAACGCTGGAATAACTCACACATCTATGCCAAGAAATTAGGAAGACAGCTATTTGGCCAACCAACCGGAAGAGATCTAAATTAGTGCCCATCCCAAAGGTGATCCAGTAGAATGAGGAAATTAACAAACAGTATCATTAACATCATACACAAATTTAATGAAAATAATACAAAAATAGCTACAGCAGTACATCAATAGGGAACTGCCAGAAAATCAAGCCAGAATCAGAAGAGGATGTGAAACAAGATGTATCATTATTCGTTATCAGATGGATCTTGGCTTAAAGCAAAGAGCACCAGAAAGATGTTTACCAGTGCTTATCAACTACCCAGATAAATAGATGATAACAAATTATGGATAATAACATGCGGAAGAATGTGAATTCCAGAACATTGATTGTGTTCACGTGGATCCTGTACATAGACCAAGAGGCAGTTGTCAAATAGAACAAGGGGGATGTTGTGTGGTTTAAATCTATCAAAGGAGTGCATCAGGGTTGTATCCTTTCACCACACATATACAATCTGTATGTTGTGCAAATAATCAGAGAAGCTGGACTATGTGAAGAACAGGGCATCTGGATTGGAGGAAGAGTCCTTAACCACCTGTGATATAGAGATAACACAATCTTGCTTGTTGAACACTGTTGAAGATCAAAGACCACAACTTCCAATATGGATTAAAACCTTATAAAAGCAAAGATGTCACCTTGAGGACTATGGTGTAACAGACCTAAGCCAAGATATTTTTAATGGCCTTATATGCATGCAAAAACTGAACAAATAAGGAAAACTGAAGAATTAATGCCTTTGGATTATGGTGTTGGTAAATAATGAATATACCATGGAATGTCAGAAGAATGAAGAAATCTATCTTGGAAGAAATAAAAGTCAGTGTTTCTTAGAGGCGAGGATGGTGTAATTTTATCCCATGTATTTTGGACACATTATCAGGAAAGACCAGTCCCTGGAGAAAGATACCATGCTTAGTAACGTAGAGGGTCAACCAAAAAGAGGAAGACCCTCATCAAGGTGGACTGACACAGTGGCTGCAACAATGAACTCAAGCCTAGAACAATTTTTAGGAAGGCGCAGGATTGGACATGTTTAGTTCTGTTGTACACAGGTTTGCTATGAGTCAGAACCATTTCGATAGCTCCTAACAATATTGATTTAAAAAAAGACAGAAAAGAAAAAAAGTGTACTTTTTGCTACTTTTAATAGTGCACTTGCATACTTATTGGTAAAAGCATAAATTAAAAATTAAAAAAGGAAAAGTAAAAGCATAATTAAAAAAAATTAAATGCTGTGAATTACAGGTAATGTTTAAATCAAAAAAGAAAACAAAGATAAACTGATTTACTTTTAAAACATATACTAAAGTCAAGAAGTATAACACATGCAGCACACTTAAGTGAAACACTCCTTAATTTTTAGTTTATTTCCCCCTAAAAAATACCAAATCCTTATGATCACAACTGAACACATACTGTGAAAATGTCTTTTTTTTTTTTTTTTTAGTCATAGTGTAGAAATAATATCCTGCATATTGTACGTAACTGAGTGAAAAGAGTTCTACCTTAAATACTTAAATGCGTTGTCATTAAGGACACTGACCAAAACACATTTCTAAAAGTGATCAAAAGAAAAGTTAGAAGTTACTTTATATCTTCTTGATCATTAGTCTTACCACTCAGAAAAACAATGTTAAAACTCATCTAAGACTTACGTCTAGTAGACTTAGGTCCTTCAAGTCATCTTAATAGTTACACAAGGGAGGAACATTACCTCATTACACAAAAAAGGCAAAGGTTGATTTACACTGCAAATGTGAGGATAGAATTCGTATGATGGGGCAGAATGATCTTTTGTTGTGTGCCTTCAAGCCAATTTCAATTCATAGGGACCCCCCTATACGACAGGGTAGAAATGTCCCGCTGATGCCAACTGCCTTATCTTCCTCCCATAGAGCAGCTGGTGGGTTCTAACCACAGACCTTTTAGTTAGCAGCAGAACGCTTAACCACTGTGCCACGGGGGCCCCTTAATATGGTTATTTATCACCTCTAATGTCATCAGATAATATAACTTCTAAAAATTACTATTACCAACAGCTATCAAGTAACGAATATTGGCTACACTTCATTGCACTACACACTCTGTACCTATGCGATCTTATTCATTATAAGGGGGCTGTTCTAAACTTAATTTTTTAAAAATTTGTAAAACACACACACACACACACACACATATACGTGGTCGTTAAGTGATAGGGCTGTAATTAAACCTAAGTTCGTTAGCGCCAAAGTTTTTCCTCTTTACTAACATAAACTCAATGACATCAGCGACTGGTTTAGGAACAAAATATCAACGATTTTAATTCGACCATGAATTATGCATTAAATTATATTTTGACATTTATTTTTCATAAGGATGTGTTTATTTCTGTATCACTCAATAAAAGCTAACCGTTTACAAGAGCATTTTAGACGAAACAACCAAGTCAAAATTCAAATCCACTAAAACACGTGCTTTTCTGCTGCAGGCATCCGTAGAGCTAAGCAGGAAAAAACACAGGTCTCTTTCCTTTGGGCTCTAACTAGGCGAAAGGCTTAGTTCTTCTGAAGAATTTTAAAGTCAATGAGGAGGGGGAAAAATCAAATACTGAAGAGAAGGTAAACTTCGATGAAAACAACAACAAAAAAAGCATAGTTAACTACAAGAACTAAAAGGTCGACTGCACGAAAGGAAAGCTTTTCACAAAGTTTATAGGGAAAAGTCACGTGGAAGAGATTCAATACCACATTGGCCTCGACAAGGGAGATAGATTTCCTTATCTGTGAAACCTAGACCAGACTAGATCAGGCTTTTTTGGGGGGAGGGAGGAGGCAAAAGAGTAGGCGATCTCGCTAGCAACTAAGGTCTACCTAGGAGCGGTAAGGTTGGGCAAATGCTGGCGACATAAGCAAAACAAAGACTCCCGAAAGACCCCGCCAGTGAGGAGATCAAGAATCTCTTTCCCGCCCAGGACCTGGCGGTTCACCGCCTAAATCCGTTTAGCGCACTGGAAGAGATCGAAAAACGGAAAATGCCGAACTAACCTAATAAAATCCCCGCGGATAACGCCCGACCCAGTTCGAGACCCTTCACAGACTCACTTTTTGTCAGGGCAAATCCAATCCCCGTCACTGACTCGGAAATTCTTGGTCGACATCTTGGCCGCAGCCAGCACAGCCACCCGCAGCTACGTCTTCACAAGAGGAAGAGGTCCTGGGACTTTAGCACTTCGGGACTGTCCCCACTCCGCCTGTCTCCCACTCATAACTGCATCAGGGTTTCATTACGGTGGCACTATGCCGGGGCTGAGTTTGAACGTTACTGTCTAGAATAAGATCCTGTGCGACAGTTTTCTGGCTGAAAGAATTATAATGTAAACGTCCTTTCCAGGACTCTGCTAACAGGCGCCATAGGGACAGCCCAGACGGGAGGCCTTCGTGGCACTAGGTGCCTACGACAGCCCCCTACAGGTAGGAGGACCCGAGAGAAAAGTCTTCCGACTAGGTAGGCGGAGCTAAGGAGGTGGAGGCGGAAGTGACTGTAAGCAGTTCAAAGAGGTAGAAAGTCGGCTTGCTTAGTCCACGTTAGGGGGCCAGGTGCAGGATTTCGTCAATTTTTCGGGGAAGTTATTTTAATAAAGGAGGAAAACTGTTGTTCAATGATGCCCATAGACTGTAGTTTAAAAACAGATTATTATTTAATATTTGATATATAAATATATAAGTATGCAATAAAGAGCTCTGGTGAGGTAGTGCCTAAGGCATTTGACTGCTAACCAAAAGGTTGGCGGTTCATACCCCACCAGCCACTCCGGGTAAGGAAGACTGGGCGATCTACTTTTGTAAAGATTTACCGCCTTGAAAACCCAAAGAGGGTCACTATGAGTCGAATCCACTCTATGGCAGTGAGTTTGGTTTGGTTTGTAAGTATGCAATGCATACCTGGGACCCGATCATTAAGTTTAGAACTAAAGTATTGACAACATTGTTGAAAGCACCCTATGCCATCCCCTTGCCTCCTTGCAGAAGTTAACATTCACCTGTATTTTGGGTTATTCCTTTTTTTTTTTTTTTTAATTTATGCACATGCATGTTTAATTTGATAAGCTTGAGCTTTATAAAGATATTTTACTATTATGGGATTTTCTGCAATTCACTCTTTTTCACTCAAAATTATTATTCTACATTCGTGCAAGGTTGTTGCATGTAGTTGTGTGTAACTGTAGTTATTTTTGACGGCTATGTACTGGTAATACCACTTTGTGTAACTTACCCTCTATTTCTCAGGTTATGCCATTAGAAACAACACTGCCATGAACATTCTTATACATAAGAGCTTTGGGTATGTAAATGCAGTAATTTTTCCAGGATAGCACACATACCCAGGAGAGGATTATTCAACTTTACAAGAATGTTAAATTGCTGTACAAGGTGGTTATTACCAATTTATACTCCCGTTATCAGGATTTTGTTGTTGTTGTTGTTATGTGCCATCGAGTCGGACCCGATTCATAGCGACCCCTCCTTGGGTTTCCGAGACAGTAACACTACGGAAGTAGGTTGCCCAACCTTCCTTCTGAGGAGTGGCTGGTGGGTTTGAACCACCAGCCTTCTGGTTAGCAGTCAAGTGCCTTAGGCATGATTTTAAGGATTACCAATTCCTTCAGAATTTGCCAGCATTGAATACTGTCGGATTTCTTAATTTTTGCCAATCAGGTAGTGTAAAATAGTATCTTACTGTGATTTTAAATTTACATTTCTCTGATTACCAAAGATGTTTAGCATTTTTTAAAATGCTTTTAGACCATTTGTCTTCTTTAAGATGGTTATTTCAAGTTGTCAATTTTTCTATTAGGTTATGTATCTTTTCATGATTTGTATAATTCCATTTACATAAAATGAAATTCTGGGGGAAAAAAATACATAGCAATTGAAAACATTAATGGTGGCTTCAGACTATGGTTGGAAAAAGATGATAATTGAAAACAGAACTTTTTGGAGTGATTCATTATCTTGATTGTGGTAGTGTTACACTAATATATAAATTTGTCAAAAATCATATAACTGTGCATTTAAAATTGGTGTATTATGCTGTGGTATATAAGCTAGTTTTCAAAAAGTGAAATGACAGGTTATGTCAGCTGTTGAACTTTTAACTTTTAACCATTAGCAGGAATACTAGTATTCCAAGTACACCAAGTACTAGTATACCAAGTATAGAATCATATGACTTTTAGGGATAGTCAGCTAATGCCTGGGAAGGAAGGTTGGGCAATCTACTTCCATAGTGATACTGCCTCAGAAACCAAAGGAGGGATCGCTATGAGTCAGGGCCAACTTGACAGCACATAACAACAACAGTCAGCTAATATTACAATTATCCTCTATTCTTCAAAGACTAGCTAATGCTTCAGTTGTCCTCTATTCTGCAAAGAATATAACATTTAAACAAATTATAAAAGTAGCAGTGTGACTGTTCCCAGACAAAACTCAAATGGGACACTGAAATTGTTTTTTATGTACTTAAGTTTTTATAGTCTCATCTAGGCCAATTACTACTCTTTACTATAATTCTATTGAAGTTTGGTGTCATCTTACCATATCATAATGAATTTCAGTGTTAGGTGACTAAGGAAAGATGTTTTGTCTGGATTCTATGTGACATTTCACGTTAAACAATGCTTAGAAAGAAGTACACAGCTCAACTCTATGATTTTCCTTTCTAATATTTCTCCAAATCATAACTAACTTACAAGAGCTGCAAAATGTGTTTTTTCCTGGATGTGGTAACTACTAATATGTGCTTAAAGCAGTTGTCTATAAGATTAAGTCTTTATGTATATGTTCCATTTTAGTACTAATGTTATAATGTTTATGGAGCTCAGGTGGCGTAGTGCCTAAGACATTAGACTGCTAACCAGAAGGCTGGCAGTTCAAACCCACCAGCCACTCCTCAGAAGGAATATTGGGCAATATACTTCATAGAGATACTGGCTCAGAAACCCAAGGAGGGGTCACTATGGGTCAGATCCAACTCGAAGGCAGTGAGTTTGGATATAATGCTTACACTATTTTGGAACTTTGCTACTAGGGTTAATATTAATTACTAGCAATTTGATACTATAAAATTTTAGTACTAATATTGGTGTTTATTACTAGTATCATTAATTACTTTTATTTAATGTTTTTTGTGTACTGGATGGTAAGCTAAATGCTTTATGAGCATTTCCTTATTAAATACGTATAACAACCCATTGAAGAAGGTAGTCCAACTTTGTAAATTTACTGATGTATTTTACCCACTCATTTTATAAAAAAGAAAAGGCAAAAATTTTATGGAGTATATTTACATGACAGTATTTTAGGCATTAATATATTTCTTATGCTAAAGTGTATTTTGTTGTTACGTGCCATCAAGTTGGACCCGACTCATAGTGACCCCTCCTTGGGTTTCCGAGGCAGTATCACTATGGAAGTAGATTGCCCCATCTTCCTTCCGAGGAGTGACTGGTGGGTTTGAACTGCCACCCTTCTGGTTAGCAGTCAAGTGCCTTAGGCACTATGCTACCAGAGCTCCCTGCTGAAGTGTATAAGCAAAACAAATACATTTTCTGAACATTTTTCTCTAGACATTAGAAATTTGATTGAGAATAAGCAAATGTATTGTTCAGATATCAATTGTAATTTATAACTGAAATGATATTTTCTGTGCTGGGAAATGTATAAAACGTACTGAAATTTGCTGAATTCATTCTTTATATCATATAATGCTAGTGTCCTTATATAGGTTATTTTACTTAAATATCATCAGATCTTGTGAGATAGATATTTTTAATTCCTATTTAATAGAAGAAGGAACTAAAAATCAGAAGTAGCAATCTGTGTTGTTGTTGTTGTTATGTGCCATCGAGTCGGACCCGACTCATAGCAACCCCTCCTTGGGTTTCTGAGGCAGTATCACTACAGAAGTAGATCTTAGTTTGTATGATTATGAAATTTCTTTTTCATTCTGCATTTAAATGAAAATGTTCTATACAAATATAAACCAAAAAAAAAAAAATACCAAACTCACTACTTTTGAGTCGATACCGACTCATAGCAACCCCTCCTTGAGTTTCAGAGGCGTTATCTATGGAAGTAGATTGCCCAATCTTCCTTCCCAGGAGCGGCTGGTGGATTTGAACTGCCAGTCTTCTGGTTAGCAGTCAAATGCCTTAGGCACTATGCCACCAGAGCTCCCTATACAAGATAAAAATTAATAAAGAGAATCCCTTCATACATGATCATTTGATTTATCTTAAGCATGCCACTACAATGCAGTGGTAGAAAGCCTAGTCTTTTTCAATAAATAATATCAGTTAGATATTTATTTGGAAAGAAAATATCTTGATTCCTATCTCATACCATACACAAAACTCATTTCCAGGGGTATTGATACCTTAATATGAAAGATAAAACAGTGAAGCTAGAAGAAAACATGGTAAAGTATCTTCCTTTCTGTTTTGGTTCGCTAGTGCCGCTCTAATAGAAGATACCACAAATGCGGGACTTTAACAAACAGGAATTTATTCTCTTACAGGTTAGGTGGCTAGAAGTCCAAGTTCAAAGTGCCAGGTCTAGGGGCTGAGTGAAAGCCCTTGACGTTGGGCTTCAGCTCTGCCTCTTGTTCCCAGCCCACTGAAGCTAGAGACATCTCTTAGCTCAGGCAGCTACTGCCTGATGAAGCTGACAAACCCAAGGTCGACAAATAAAATGGCACCATCCCAAGATTACCAAACAGTGTTGCAGGACACTAGTTCAAGTCCAGAGACAGTCCTAAGATCAGCAGGAAACATGGCAGGCTGCTGAATGAAGACTCGGCCACGTGCAGGGTTCACACATGCCAAAAAGCTGCAGAGACCTTTCTCAAAACTTCTCCTTATATATTGGATGCACACCACATTGCTAAGGCAGCTATTCAGTTGCTCCAGTAGATTCCACCATGGAGTCGATTATTGCTGTTGTTGTTGTTATGTGCCATTGAGTCAGACCTGACTCATAGCAACCCCTCCTTGGGTTTCCAAGGCAGTATCACTACGGAAGAGATTGCCCCACTTTCCTTCCAGGGAGTGGCTGGTGGGTTTGAACTGCCAGCCTTCTGGTTAGCAGTCAAGCACCTTAGGCACTATGCTACCAGAGCTCCTATGGAGTCGATTACC